ATAGATTAGATACATTTGTACTTTCTCTAATAAACTTTTTAAAAACTTCATGCAAAAGTATTTTTGCTCGATTGTGTTTTTGATTGATTTGTTACATTTTGTGCACATTACGTAGACGTTTCAGTTAGAAAATTATTTAAGCTGCGTATGCACCGATAAGTATAAAGTAAAATTATCTGGTTTGATTATTTTGGTATGAATTCATGGGTGTATGTTTGTTTGTATACATAATAATACTACGTTCTATACTAGCAACTGCGACAAGATCTCGTCGTGAATGCTAGGACAGTGTTAGGACTCGTCATCATCCAAGTGCCCGCACTGGTGCCAACTAGGCTGTGGCTCCTTCTCGCAAACTCTCCACAGGTGCCGCTTGAAGCAACCGTGCAACGAGAAGACCTGTGGGAAGGAGAGGGAGAGTAGGCTATGTCGCCGATCCGACTATGCCTCAAGCACCTCGAGCGATACCTCGACCGGTACCAGGCGGGGCCTTGGTACCGGCCGAGGTATCGTTCCACTACGTACAAAAAGATGACGCAGAGTACACCTCCACCGATTTAATGTCCACTTACCTTAATAAATTAATAATCGATTTTTTAGAAACGCTCCGACTTATACTTTAGACCACACATCAAGCACACTCTATTCTTGTTTGCTGTCTTTCATTTTAATTACAGGGACGTCCATTTTGATAATTTAGATCTATAAATTTGCGTCTCAAAATTATGCCTCGCGAACAGTGTAACAAAGTTAATAATATTCTTCGATAACCAAGACATTGATTGATACTCAATTTTGGAAATAATTTTCTCTCGTTTTATTGGGATAGGCTTTATTGGTCTTGACATTAATTAACTAGTTTAAGTTAAACCCTTTTTAGTTTATGATTTTCGTTAAAGTTTTCACCAAGATTTCAATACTTTGTGGAAGTTCACTTTGTGTTAATAGAAATCGCATAAAGTTCAATAATGATGAAATGCGTTGATGTTGTCACGGACTTCTCCGTCATTTGTAGACTGACTTTGAATATTATTATTATTATTTTTTTTTTATTGCCCTTGTAGGCAGACGAGCATACGGCCCACCTGATGGTGAGTGGTTACCGTCGCCCATGGACTTCAGCAATGCCAGGGGCAGAGCCAAGCCGCTGCCTACCGCTTAATACTCTCCACAAGCCTTGTTTGAAGAAGGACATGTCATAGCGCTCGGGAAACACCGTGGAGGGGAGCTCATTCCATAGCCGGATGGTACGATGTACTAGCTGTACCCGTCCGCTTCGCTGGGCATTCAAAATTAACATTATTATTTCTCACCCCCACAAAGATTCTCATCATTAACGCCCCCGCAGCTAGTGTAGGGAGTCCAACACTCATATAAATATTAGCCTATGCATTAAGTATATGTATTTTCTACGTGGATACCAAGTTTCAAGCCAATCGGATGCATGGTTCGGTAGTTATAACGAAACATCCGTAAAAACCACTATAGATTTATATATTAGTATAGATTAAAAGAGACATGTCTCTCAGTAGCGTTATTCGATTGAAATTGTTTTTTACTGTATTTGTAATGAAATACTAAACAAATTTAACATGTTATTCGATTTCACAAAACCTCAGTTCTGATGTTATTTTCTACACTTCTCCCCTCGAATTTTTTATCTATTTTAGCCAACACAAAGAGAAGTTCTTCCGGCTTGAACGCAAGCCATTTACAAAGTAAATACGCCGTTAAAAGGTTGCAAATCGTGCGCTCGCCTGGACACGCTTCCTGTAATATAAATATACCACTTCAGATTTTGTTTTCCTAATAAATGGTTACACGTCGGTAGGTGTGTCAAATTTATCGCGAGTTCGCCGTCTATCTATCTATCTACCTGATTTTACCTCTAAAACTTGAGATGTTTAAGATACTATTAATACTAATTATTAATATAATCATAATATAATAATAAATATAATTAATATTAATACTACTATTAATATATTCTTTACTGGTGGTAGGACCTCTTGTGAGTCCGCACGGGTAGATACCACCACCCCGCCTAAATAGCAGTAATGTGTTTCGGTTTGAAGGGTGCGGCAGCCGTTGTAACTATAGTGAGGCCTTAGAACTTATATCTCAAGGTGGGTGGCGCATTTACGTTGTAGATTTTGTATGGGCTCCAGAAACCACTTAAAACTAGGTGGGCTGTGAGCTCGTCCATCCATCTAAGCAATAATGAAAAATTTGATTGAAAATGTACAGAAACATCGATAATTCCTACAATCGACCCACATCAGGTGATATTAGTACCGTAGAACAACAATGATGAAAAAAAATTTTTATCGACGAAATAAAAACAACACAGGAAAATTATATTTGCCTCTAATTTGAGTTAATTATGGTATAATAAACAAATGCAATGCGTTTAGCAAAATATAATGAAGTGATACATATATTTACAAAAGCATATATTTCTGTATGAATATATGTATAGATGTGCGTGTGCTGTGTGTTTGTGTGTATTTCATGGTGTTCACGTGTGCGCGTGAGTAACGTAAGTGACAGCGTGAAAAGTATAAGTTATCTATATATTAATACGTGAAGCAAAAACTTTGTATCCCTTTTTATGAAAATTGCGCGGACGGAGGAGTATGAAATTTTCCACACTTATAGAGAATATAGAGAAGAAGTGCACAATGCTAATATTTTTTTTAAATAATGCATAAAAGATACATTAAATCAATAAAGAAAACATTACACACACTACATACCATGTATTTGACGCACGCACGCATGCGTATTATTTATTGTCAAACTTTTGTTCTTGACGTCTGTGGTCAAATTGAGAATAGATTAAATATTGTTTGTCTTTATAAATATTTTTTTATAGTGTAGCCTCGGCGAAATTTGTGATTATAGAAGTATAAAATACAATCATAATAGTGTACAAACTTACAATTCCAATTAATTATAGTCGAATTTCGACTACTGCGGGACCTCTAGTGTATTTTAATTTGAGGGAGTGCATATAGAGTCCCTTCTTTATTTCGCCTGGTCGTGTTTTATGTAATTAACACCACAGTTGGAACAATATAAATTTTATTGTTGTAGCGGCATAAAGTAATTACATTAAATTAGTTATTTAACTCATTATAAATTATTTTTATGTTTTTCATATTTGGCGGTAAAAAGGTAATGTGTCACAGACTATATCCTTTTTCCCACATCTCGTGCGTTCCGGCTTACGCATAATAAAACGCCACAAATTCAACCACTGAATTTTTCGATCACTAGTATGGATATTAAAATTATTTCCTTGAGGTTAGTAATATAGCTGTAACCCCGCTTGCATTGCCATGGCTTCAGCCTCTGCGACTAGGCTGCTTACGTCACACGTTCGGCTTAAGGATTAATTCGTATTTACGTAAAGTATATATATTTTTAAATAACGTTTTCCAGACCTGTTTTTGTTCAGGTTAGACCGTCTAGTGCGAAAAGGCAAGATACGCTCTTGATACTTTCGGTCCCTAGATTGGTAGAAACAATTTTAAATCTTTTCAATTTCAAATTCCTTGTATCATTTGCTTTATTAGTTCACGGCAGAGATATACTAATAATTAATTATTACTAGCTGACCCGGCAGACTTCGTAGTGCCTCAGTCGATAAATAAAGGACCTAAACTTTTGTATAAAATAAACTTAAAACAAACAAATAAAATCCGTCCGACGGGGGACACATCAAAGGAAAAACAAAATTGTTATTTTTATTTAATTCCGAGCATTTTCATATCTATCTACCCCTTAAACCTTCTTCTGGACTTCCACAAATAATTTAAGACCAAAATTAGCCAAACCAGTCCAGCCGTTGTCGAATTTTAGCGAGACTAACGAACAGCAATTCATTTATAAATCTATAGATTATTAAAAAAAAATATACACGCAAAAATAGTGTTTACAAAGCCATCTGTTACGTATGGATGAAACTATGGATAGGCTGGTTTTGCATCAAAATTTAGTATATTTTAAATAAATTGCAATATTCATAATTATAAGCATGATTATGAAACATTGTGGGCTAGGCCACTTTTGCGCTGACGGCCTCATATAGAAGTCTCTGGTCCCTACAGTATATAAAATTTCTTTTTGGGTCTGGGTTCAAAGGACTGTGCATGATCGGTCTTACTTAATTTATGATTGATGACTTCCGGTGACGTTTCACTATCAAATAGGCCAAATGCCAAATGGCAAATGCTTATGCTGTCCATGAATCGTCTACCTTAGAAGACAATTAAAAAACCCACAAATAAAAATTATGGAGATATAATGTTCCTAAAAACACTGATGATAGATTCCGGTGAATCAGGTAGCATTTAAGATGGCTACTTCATTTTATCACATTTATTATTCACTTATGGAATATCTTATCTGTTACCACTTGTGGGTTTATCGTTACACTGTCTTATACTATGATTAATAATAATACCCATTAAATTTATTTAATGATAATCTAGATGTTATTAATATTTTTATAAACCAAAAATATAGTATTTTGTTAAACACGCAAATCTTCGTCCTAAGTTTGATAGTTGAAATTAAGCAGTTGAAACAGTGAAAACGTGAATTGGGAATTGATTATGATATTTGTATATTTTATCGTAACAAAAGTAACGACTATTAGAACATTAAGGGACTTTCACTTTCTAGACTTTCATTTTTATGAAATTTAAGCTACGCAGTACTAGCAGAGTCTTATAACAAAAAATTGCAAACTTCTTCTAAGTAAGTTTTAACAATTTGGACCGTATTGAAGAAATTTGAAAAAAAAAGGAAGCTATTACAATACCCATTTGTGAATCTAAGCCATTCTCCAATTAACTGGACCACATACAAACAAAATCATCAAAATCGGTCCATCCGTTTAGAAGTTCAATAACATACTCACGGAAAGAGACATTACATATTTTTTAAATTATTTTAACAATGATATTGTACTATGTGTATTTCTTTGTCAACAGAATGAGTGCTTGCACGCTGCGGTAACATCTCTTACGAAGAACCAAGCGGAACACTACGACAAATACAATTGTTTGTAAGTTCAATAATGAAACTATTAGTATATTCGACATATTTGAAGAGGTCGTGACCTAAAATAAGTCTGAATGTATTCTATTCGTATCGAACTATGCGACTATGCCAATTTTCAAATCTCTTTTTTTATGGCATAGATAGATAGCCGATCTCATAGCCCATCTGGTGTTCAGTGGCTACGGGAGCTCATAAGTATCTACAACGTAATTGCTGCCACCCACCTTGAGATATGAGTCCTAAAGTGGCAGTATAGTTACAACGGCTGCCCCACCCTTCATAACGAAACGCATTACTGATTCATGGCAGAAATAGACAGGGTAGTGGTACCCACCCGTGTGGGCTCACAAGACGGCCTACCACCAACCAGTAATTACGCAAATTATAATTTTGCGGATTTGATTTTTATTACACGATTACTTCCTTCATCGTGGAAGTCAATCGTGAACATTTGTTGAATCGGCACCCGCCTGCGGAATTCGAAGACCGTTGCATCGTTAGATACAAATGCACCGAACGTCTTTTCTTTTAGGCCACGACGACTTCAAAAATCTCACAGGCCGGTGCAACTTTTTTTTTTCTTCTCAGACATATAATGTAAAAGAAATTGGTTACTAGTTTCCCGTCTTCAACTATATCGTGTGTAACCGAGCTCAGCCGTGAGATGAAAGGTAAACATGACGCCAGATCCTTCTCCAAACTAGGCTTTCGGAAAGTACTTAGCGGTAGTTAGCGGCTTGTCCGTGCCTCTGGCATTGATAACGTCCATGGGCGATGGTAACCACTCACCATAAGGTAGGATGTATGCTCGTCTGCATATATGGGCTATATGACCTACATGGGCTTAAAAGAGAAGGCTGTCTCTCCAAATCTACCAAGTCCAGCCATAAGTTCTGTTACAAATTCAAAATAATTAAAAATTTGAAAAACAATTTTTTTTTAAGTAATAGTATTTATGACCAGACGAGTTAATATATAAGGATGGTTACAGTGGTTCATTTTGGTGGGAATTCACGAGTGAAACCAAAACTTAATTTGTTCACAGACGCAGATTACCCGATGAAGTGAAGACCTGTAGAAATTATGCGTATCTCCAAGAAATTTACGACGCGGTGCGAGCGACAGACAGTAAGTGTTACAAAATTCATCGCATGTTGAGTTTACGCGCGGTTTTAGTGATTATTTAATTTAAACCGAGTGAATGAGTTTGCTGGGAATTCTGGTTGTTGTAATACACATACGTATCTTAAGAAATCTATACATATAAATAAAATTGGAGTGTCTGTCTGTAATATTGAAATAGCCTCTTTTTACTACATGCATATGAATATCTATATACGGTACATACACTAAAATATCATTTTTTACAATTTTTGTCTGTCTGTTTGTTCCGGCTAATCTCTGGAACGGATGAACCGATTTTGACGGGACTTTCACCGATAGGTAGCTGATGATATAAGAAGTAACTTAGGCTACTTTTTTTAGACTAGCTTTGCCCCGCGGCTTCACCCGCGGTACGACAATAACCGCGGGTAACATCGTGGGACTCGGCTATCAATAATAAAATTTAATGTTTCCGAAGCGAAGCGGCGAAGCGAGGGCGCTAGTTTGTACGAAAAGATATTTTTTTTTATTATAAAGGTTTTGTCCTTGTGTTATGTCCACTATGTCACAACGACTATGATTTCAGTCTACCCACAAGTCACAAATAAGATGATTATATTTACCTACCAATTTCAGAAGATTTATAATAAAAATAACCTTACATGTTTGTTATTTGTTAGTGCTCATAAGTAAAAATCCTCGATTTTATCAATGAGCAGTTGTTCAAGATGTTAAAACAGATCTTATTATTTGATTTGTAACAAATAAATAATTAATTCACTATTCACATATTTTTGTACCCCATGCTATTCGTTAAATACATCAAATAGATAAACCACAGAACTAAATAAGCTAAAATAGATGTTAATATTAATAATTTAATTTGATGACTAGAAATCTGAGAAACAAAAGAAAACTGAAACTTGGTTACTTTAAAGAGTTTCAAGATCCTGAATGGGATTAGGGAGTGATAGAGTAGGGAGAAATCGTCGTAAAATATTAATTAAAGAAACACCAAACTACAGAACTTATTAAGATGTATAGCAAAACAAGAGCGGTGTAATCTAAAGGAAAATTTATCTCACAGACGTAAATGGGTCGGCCAGATTAGGGTTTCTAGACGGCTTTGAAATACTTACAAATTGTATATGACGCGGGTTGATGTAGACCTTGTTGGGAACAAAACGGATGTTAGGAAGGATTTACGTTTAGACGTGGCGTGAAATTGCACCGAAAATAAAAATTAATATATCATTAGTGCAACAATAAATTATCAAAAAAATCTTTCCTCTTTGAAAATCTTTACGATGAAGCAAATTGAAATGTTGGATATTATAAAATAAATATATAATAAAACCGGAGATTAAACCGTAAAAATAGTTTTAATAGTTTCTACAACATTCGCGATCCGTGGGAAGACACTACCATAAAATTCGGAGTTATTCATGGCAGACTTTCTAAAACTTCTTAATCTGTTTATTTATTTGATCTGTTGTTGACTGAATTTGAACGAATTGCGGTAAACTTGAATTTTATCTGTTAACACAAAATGAGTTTGTAAGATCATTTCAAACGCGTAAAAAGTAGATTTAGGGTTTTACCGCTGACACTATAATGTAAAAGAACTATTGGAATTCGCCAGAATCCTTTAGAAAATTTGGACAAAATTAAATCCTATAACTATTAGGTAAGTATAAAGTATACTTAAGTAATAAATAGTCTCTGAAAGCATCTCTGAAAGAGAGAAATTAGTCGAAGTCGTTAATTTCAATGTACATTTTATGTACAATTTAGCGGTAGGCAGCGGCTTGGCTCTGCCCCTGGCATTGCTGAAGTCCATGGGCGACGGTAACCACTCACCATCAGGTGGGGCGTATGCCCGTCTGCCTACAAAGGCAATAAAAAAAAAACATTTAATTGTAATATTTAAAAAAAGAAAACATTGCGTTTACGTAAGAAAGTAGTTTGCTCTGATCGTTATAACATCTGCTTCTTCAAATTAATCTTAATGCTCAGCAGCACCATTTTTCACCAAGACGGCCGCCGAGTCAATAAAATTATCGATTAAAATAATAATAAAAAACATTTCGACACGGAAATTACATTTTTTGCTTAGTGAGATTAAAACAAACGTTATGTTCTCAATAACTTGATGAAAACTTTTGAAAAACTTTAAAAGAACGATTATGTAAATTTAAGTACAAATGATCAAAGGAAGATACTGAATTTTTAAACAGAGTAAAAACTGTTGACTTGATGGTTTAAATTTAAATTTAATTGTATAATTAATCATCGGATTTATCTTTTATTAAATATTTTTTTCCATTTATCTTTGAATACCATTGTATTCTGAATAATTGTTGTGTCTTCTGCTGCATATTATTTGGCATTCATTTACTTCTATTTACTTTATTACTGCATGTACTTTATTATTGTGTTTTAATGACAGAGATGTATACCGAGAAACGTTAAAATACGGGGAAAAATTCCTTAAGTTGAATTCCAAATGTTTCAGCGTTATTGATCTTCTTTTTATAGGTCTCAATCTAAATGATATAAAAAAATCTATTCAAATGTAATATGAATTTTTTCGATGGCCTCAGATCCCCAACTGAATAGATTGATGTCATTAATAAATCTCACAATAGCAATTTCTCTGACACAGCCTAAGAAGATTTCCGAAAGAGCAACAAAAAGTTCATTTATATCATGAACGCTTGACTTCTTTGAACCCTTCTCAAGGTGTATTTAACTTTTAGATGCGATCCTTTTTATTTCTTATGAATACTTATGGTTGGAAAAATTTAATGGATAATTTGAATCTGATATTTTTTACATTAATGTCTTTTGCAAATTGACAAAAAATTACCACGAACATTAGATTGTCCTATTTGTTTTTTTTTTTTTACTAAAAATAGAGAAGGTCATTCGGAGAACAATTTCAAAATAGCTTCAAAATATATTTAATTGTTAAAGGTCAGAACTTTGATGGCACTCCAATGTAACTAAGACTCGGTCGAAATTTAGACTAGGTCTTGAAGGGAGCTTTGAAATTCACAAATATTTTATACCAACTGGACCATGAACTCTACCCTCTACTCTACTCTATCTATAATAGTAACAAAAAACTACTGAAATCCTTGTTACGTAATTAAGATACTTAGTATTAATAAAAAAAGATGTGTGGTGTCGTGGGATACCGGATAGGAACGAAGTTCCCAATTATAAAAATATTAATTTAAAGTTCTATTCGAGGTATGAAGAAAGAAAGAGAGAGAGAGACAGACAGACAGACAGAGAAACATGCGACGCCGCACAGCTTACAATAGCTTACTATAGCAAAAATTGTCGTGACAACTTTTCGTAAGAATTTATAGCAAAAAGTGTCATGACAACTTTTCGTAAGAATTTTTTCCGTCTAGCCCCCTTTTACAATGCGCGATAAGGAACTTCGTTCCAAAAGTGTCGTGACAACTTTTCGTAAGAATTTATAGCAAAAAGTGTCGTGACAACTTTTCGTAAGAATTTTTTCCGTCTAGCCCCCTTTCACAACGCGCGATAAGGAACTTCGTTCCAATTATGCACTAAACATAGTATTAGCTTAGTTTCTTAAAACTTAAGGACTATTGACACTAACGAGATTTCACTATTAATAGAACGTTTAATCATAAAATATGTTCTGATCCATTAAATTCAGGCCTATAAATCTACTCACCAGTTTCCCTGTCAAATCAGTCACCCTGTAAATCAAACAGAAAATTAAACAAAGCAAAATTAACGCGAAGATTTCCAAAAGCCTTATTGAATAACTTCGTTAATTACAATCTCTGGATAATATCTTTTGTTAAAATTAATTAAGTTAAATTCGTCTTTTGGCGAGGTGTCGTATCATAATGGAAATTTTGTTACAGGTGTTAGCACTAAAGATTTTATGGCGAAATTAGGAGAATATTTAATATTAACAGCGTTCTCGCACAATTGCCGATTGGAGAGGGCTTTCAAATGTTTAGGCACCAATTTGACTGAATTCCTGACCACATTAGACAGTGTACATGACGTATTGCACGACCAGGTTAGCTTAACATTTGTAATTCAAATTAGTTGTTTACATTTGCAGCAAGAGCGGGTTAAATTACTTGAATTTTATTTCAAACTTTAGTATTGATTTATAGAATTTATTTTTAGTAGGTCTATGTAATTAATTGTAAAAGTTAAACGGAAGAGTACCAATGAGTAAGAAATAGTAATAGTGATATTTTCATTCCCTTTTAGGACGATTCACTCAAAGACGAAACTATTGAATACGAAGCTAATTTCGTATGCACAACATCACAAGAGGGGAAGATACAACTTCATCTCACAACCGAAAGCGAGCCGGTCGCTTACCTACTGGTGGGAAGTCTTAGAGCAATAGCCCGAAGGCTGTACGATACACAGACAGATATAAGACTGATGAGCTACACCAACGACCCAAGAAGATTTAGGTACTGAACTTTTAGGATGGTGAAATCAAGGCTTTCATGGTAAGTTACCAAGCTTGTCGTGGTATTATATTGTTAATATCAATTGCAGATACGAAATAAACGCTGCCCCGCTAAACCTTAAAACCAAAGAGGAAAACTGCGATACAACGAATGAACCTGCTCCAATTGCCACGTCAACCAAAGTGACAGATCTGAAGATAGGCGTCGCCAGTTTCTGCAAGGCCTTCCCTTGGCATTTTGTTACAGATAAGCGTTTGGAACTCGTCCAGCTCGGTACGTATCTTTGTTTTCGGTATAATTTTTTTTGGAAAGCCAAATAGATTTTATCAGAATGTGGTTTAGTCTTGGCATCTTCGTTGTTCCAAAGTACCTTTTTTGTTTAATGTGACTCGAATTATTTAATTATGTTTTTCACTGTCCAATGAAATAACAGTTTGTTCTGCCAGCAGTATTTGAAATTGTACATATTTGTTTAACATTTCAACAGCTTTACTGTTAAAATGAAAACGCTTTTTGGAAATAAACCACACAATTGCTACAAAAAAAATCGGCTGATTTGACGTCCTCGTGGCCTAAAGGATAAGTCTGGTGCATTCGTGTTGAGCGATGCATCGGTGTTCGAATCCCAGGCGGGTACCAATTTTTCTAATGAAATACGTACTCAACAAATGTTCACGATTGACTTCCACGGTGAAGGAATAACATCCTGTAATAAAAATCAAACCCGCAAAATTATAATTTGCGTAATTACTGGTGGCAGGACCTACTGTGAGTCCGCACGGGTAGGTACCACCACCCTGCCTATTTCTGCCGTGAAGCAGTAATGCGTTTCGGTTTGAAGGGTGGGACAGCCGTTGTAACTATACTTGAGCCCTTAGATTTTATATCTCAAGGTGGGTTGCGCATTTACGTTGTAGATGTCTATGGGCTCCAGTAACCTCTTAACACCAGGCGGGCTGTGAGCTCATGCACCCATATAAGCAATAAATAAATAAAAATCGGCTGATAACGTAGGCAGTTTGAATTTTTTGTTCAAAATTTTACTATGATATATCACACACTGTTACATTTTTTCTCTAAACACTAATTACCTATATTATGCTAAAAAGCGAATAGAAATGTAGAACTATGAATAAATTTCGAATGCAATCGCAAACCGCTGCATAGGATTCAAAATCTGAACTTGTGAATAGAATTCTAATTCCAAGTTGGAACTATTTCTGGCTGACCTAGAAAGGCTTTGTATTATGTAAGACGAGACTTACTATCTACATTCAAGATTCAAGAGTACCTACAAAATTAGAATTCTCGGTTATAATTTATTCAATATCTGCTTGTTCTATGTCGATAATAATAAGTTTCCATCACCACAAGACGCAGCGGCATCATACATGCCTCTCATTCGCGAATTTGTAGGTTCGATGCTGGACACGTGTAACCTTAATATTCAGTTAATTGGCAACCACTTACCGTTAAAATTTCAGCTTATTTATCAGCATAAGCCTAAAAGACTGATGAATGAACGCAGATTTAAATTTACCTATTTAAATGAAGAAAAATGACTAAAAAACTGATTAGGGATAAAAAATTTGTTTAAACTATTCCAACTCGTATTAAGTTTACAGGGTTAATTCAATACTATTGAATCCTACAAGGAGTTTATAAGCAAAGCAGTCTAGTAATGTCGGTTTTATTTTATTTTATTGTTGTAATTTTAACTGAAATATACATAATACCTTATAATACTTTAAACCTTACCATCATAATATACAGATAATATAATGAATAAATCAGAAATCCTTAAAGATCCAAGCAGACATTGAATTTTTGAAATTTATTAATTAGTTTACGCAGAAGTGACTTTTTTATTATTAATTTACGAAAGGGAAATGTTGAGATGATTTTTAAGATATAAAAACTTTAAGATACAAATAAATGCTCTTATAGCATAAAAATCATAAAAGATTAATAATTAAATCAGCATTCATTATTTATTATATTAGGAATAATAATTTTAAATATCAAATTGAATATATGGATGTTATGTATCTACTCGTATTTATTGAGGCATCGCTTCTCCGATTAAATTGAGATATCCAGGTTGACTAGATTAAGTGTCCGCTAGTAACGTGCGGTGGTAAAAAGGAGATGAAGAAAGGCACGCGAGATAGTAGGAGTTTATTGTATGTATTTAGCTCAGTAGTTATTATAGTCAGAGCTGACTTTTACTAGTGAAATGTCAATTTAATTAATGCTTTTGAAACTGCTGCATTCGATATCTTGAAAGAATTTGTGTCCATTTTGTCTGACTTCTTTTGGCGTCAAATCAAATTCGTGGATCATTTGTGGAATTTAGTGTATAATTCTCACTATGCGCCAATGACTCGATTAAGCAATTTGGTTTAGTATTATTCCGTACTCATCTTTGAAAGCTTTTTTCCTTGATAATGTACCATTAAATGAAATCCCTTCGTTAAGCATTATTTTCGCCTCACCTCCATTACATCACATTAAATAGGCTCCTTGAATTTACGATTCACTTTACGTTAAGCCCTTATTATTTACTGTCTCACAGATAATTNTGCGCCAATAACTCGATTAAGCAATTTGGTTTAGTATTATTCCGTACTCATCTTTGAAAGCTTTTTTCCTTGATAATGTACCATTAAATGAAATCCCTTCGTTAAGCATTATTTTCGCCTCACCTCCATTACATCACATTAAATAGGCTCCTTGAATTTACGATTCACTTTACGTTAAGCCCTTATTATTTACTGTCTCACAGATAATTTACTCTTCATTAAGTAAACCTAATTGGAGTTTATAAATGATTCTTGTCCACCTGATGGTTGGCTGGAAGAGATCGCTCTTAGCGATAAGACCGCCAATTGTACTTTTTGTGTTTAATGTATCGAACTGTTTATTTGTTTTTTGGTGTACAATAAAGAATACTCTCTCTCTCTTTCTCTCTCTCTCTCTCTTTATTTCTAATTAATTAAATATACGCTTGCATTATTTAGGCAATGCAAAGTTTATTTAAAGCAATCGCTTGGTCTGGCTTTGAAAAGTAGGACGTCCGTTTTTGTATTCGAACTCATGTCTCAAGGCGGGTGGCGTGTCTCTAAATAGTTTCGTGTAGCTTATCCGGCTATCTACTACCAATAAATAAGAGAGCCCTTAAGATTTTGTTATCTGACAGCCCTTGCTCTTAAACAAGTCTACGGCTTGGGTTGTGCAGGAATCCCAAAACAAAATATGTGTGATGGATGTCTAAAGATGCTACAAAACCATTGTATAAGTATCCCTTTAAAGTAATTTGATATTTGAAGAAAGGACTGGGCCATGTTCTCAGGCTCCACTATGATATTTTTTTCTACAAACAACCCAAACAACAGTAATCATTTGATTTATGTTTTTCATAGAAATCTGATAAACGCCGATTCGCTACCTACCTCGAGACATGTGGCCTTTCAAACCCAAATGTATGAAAAATTTGAATAATATCGCTGGAAAAAAAACCACCAAAGTACCAGGTTTCTTGATTTTTTTTTAGACGCCTACATAAGTCTCCATCTGGAAATAGGTCACCCCCAAAGTCCGCCTCAATAATCGGTCCTACGCAGTTTCCATCCAGCGGATTACCATGACCTTTACCAGGTCGTGGTTCCACCTGTTGGCTGGCCTGGCCTAACCACAATGCGTTTGCCGGATTTACTTCTATATGTAAATTATTAAAAAAAAAATTAAAACATTACGCAATTTAAAAGAATGCAAAATATGGCCGGAATCAGACCGAGAAAATTTCAACTATCTTAGACTACCTACATCTTGTGAAATTCCTACAAAGTCAATCTCTATAAAAAAAATTGAACGAAACATAACACTCAACCCAACCCCCTAATTCCGCTTAGTTTGACCACCTCAACCCATCTGGGACCATTCTTTTCCTTCCCACCTCAGACGTTTCTTAATGATGTTGAAATAGGGCCGTTAAATTCGCCGGTAATGTTGGCAGGTGATTATCGAAGGGTTTTTACGTCTATGCCATTTTCTTAGACGATGATGTAACCGTTTATTTTAACGATAGCGGCGACTCTGCGCTGTTGACATAGATTCGATTTGAATTTCATCATAGGTAAATTGCAATGAAGCTTTCGTTGAACCTTAAGACCTTATCATGGCTTATTAAAAATTTCCAATCTAATTATGGCACACGCAATATATGTATAAAAGTATAAATTTCTTGTGAGTGAATACTTGTATGTAAATTGTCAGCGTGTGCCTTGTTCCTATAATATGATTTCTGTGCAATTGTTAAGCTTATTTGGTGTTAAAAGTCAATAGGCCCACACTATCTCTCTGTAGTAGTAACTGTTATGAAAACCTTATTTTCTTTTTATTATGATGCCTCAATGTCTATATTCAAAGCTGGCGGTGCATTCTGTAGATTGGATTTGTCTGTTTTCGTTTATAGCCATACAAACTTTGACTTGGTCTCTTGAGGTAGTTGGTGCTTACGCTCTGATGTCTATGGCATCTGATAATCACTATATCTTAGACGGGCTATACAGTCGTTTGTCATTCATTACTTGTCCGTCTTTAGAGAGCTACTTTTGGCGTCGTCACTACATAAACTATGGTTGTTAAATTTTCATATGACTGCAATGGAGAAACAAAAGTAATTATATATTATTTGGATTGATATTCTGGAGAGGCAATGCACTGTATTCTCATATAAAAAAAACAATACCTTCATTACGTTTTATGGCGAAATTCAAAACATGTTCATCACGCATCACGCACATTAAAAACTAACCCACGCATTAAATATTATTAAATGTACGCACGATTCGACATTAAGTCCTCCAATAACACAAAATAAATTACAAGCATTTTTTACGAGGTTGCAAATATCTCGCCATTAGCTAAAATACGATAAAATAAATGTGGGTGTTCCAACTTTTTACGAACATTTACATACATCACAGTCACGTCAGTTGAATCAGCTGGTTTCGGTATAGAATGGGACATTAATGCGAAGACATTACTCAGAACAAATCGTTGAGCGATTTATTCAAAAGTTACTTACGTGCTTGAAAACTAAAAGAAGTAGAGATAGAAATCTGGAATGCTGTTCACATTTTTTCTTTTTATCCCGAATTTATTTTGTTTGTTTACTACGTACATGGGTGAATGAGATCTGGGTTCATTCGCGGTTTTATAGTTGCCGGGAATCCTAGAGGTCACAACAGGATTGCCATCACCCACTTTAAAACAAGGATTGTATTGTATAAATGCTGCTGCGTCTCTAGTTAATCTTATTCGCTCTTTACCCACGAAAGGAATGCGGTGGTGCATTTTTAGGTCAACATCACATAGTCCAAAAGAACTGTGATAGTTCAAATTAAAGCACTAGGTTTCGTATGGCATATAAGAGGATAAGAAAACAAAAAGGCTATTTCTACCGTTTCCCTGTTTATACTTGATTTATTTTTCGAGCTGACTTCTGAAATTTTAACTATCTTATATCTATGCCGAATTTTCGTGGGGTAGCATGTTACAACCCGTACTGGAGGGCATCTATATCCTTTTTTATCGCACCAACCATGGAATACAATTTGAAGAGCACGACAGTTTTTGTGATACTTAACAACGCAATTGATACCTAAGTGACGTCTGCTGGTTATGATTGCATCTGATGAGCTATCAGCTCCTTCGTTAATCACGATGGAACTTTTCAAAGAACCTCTTAGAATAATGTCCAGGAAACCATGAAATTTTAAAGATAGACCCTTGCCTGACAGAGATAAATACCTTGGCAATACCTTCACCGCACAAAACTTGCGACCCTGGTTTGATGGGCTCCTATCAATGCGCATTACGCTCATCTCCGGTCTCCCTGTTCTTCTCCCTGCCTATCCTAATTTGATAGACGCCTACAATTCTGGTTTTAAATGTTCATTCAAGTATACAATTTACGGAAGTTCTTGACAAGCCTAGGACTTTTAATAGGTTATAGAAAGATTTAGCTTGTATACTTTTCGCTATCTCAAATCTCAACAACGTCGAGTATGAAAAATCAATTGCAATTACAACCTTTATTTTTTAGTACATGTTAGATGAATTAAATATGTAATTAAATTATCATTAAACACAGTATCTGGAAGACTGTTACTGATTAGTGTTTTGCCACATCAAAATTTACTTAAAAGTTTTCCGTGATGATGTATTGAAGATCCGAAAAATATCGGTAGCTAACAAAACTAACTTGGCTTTTTTGCTCGTTTCATACTGTTTTAGAAATGTTCATTAGTGTTTCCTTCTGACCTAGATAATAGCATTATAATTAACGAGCCAAGTGATGATTGAGCAGAAACGGGAATTTTTAGGCGGGGGTCAACGAACGAAGCTTAATTAAACTTCCATTACAAATGCAGATACTTATCAAAATGAATAATAACGTTGACACAGTCGCTTTACTTCGGATGTAATTATACTATTTACAAATACATAATGAACTATTAAAATTATTGTTCGGTGGAATAATTATTGACAGCAACAGCCAATTTTTTTCAGTATATTGGTTCCGAAATAAATAACCAAGACAAGCCATCATCGAGTTTCTGAAAATATTTTTGAAGTTATACTTCTTTAAGCGCGTTATGAAAAATTTATGAGAGTGAAATTTTACGATGCGCGCGCACTGTGACACAAAATTAACAGAATGAAGTTGCCCACTAAATCGCTCATTACGATACGACCGACGTAACTTGGCGAGTCTGAATATAGCCGCAGGTGAACTTTCCGAACCGTTCCGAGAATTACCGAATTTATACGATGTCAAGAAAAGGGATGTCCAATATGCGTGTTTGAGAATGTTGTTTAATCGATTTTTTTTCAAATTGATTAAAATTTAAATAAAAAAAAGAAATAAATTTAATAAAAATAAAGTATAACTTCTTACGCGCGTACATAAGTACACGCACCCTTTTTTACTTTAGCATTTAAGATGATAAACATGTATCTTTCAGCTTTATATTTACTTAATAATATTTCCATATTAAAACCATTATGGCGGTAGCTGTTATAGGAAAGAAGATTTTTGAAAAATACATGTTCCGAATAATGAAATACTGGCCGTTACTCATCAGTTCAGAACTAAGTAATTTTATTCGCTGGGTGGAAGATATTCCCTTTGTGGATTCCTCCAAAATATCCGCCCTAGAATATCTGCCATAATTAAAAGCCAATCGCTTTCATTTGCTGGGTGAAAGATATTCCCTTTGTCTTTTCTTATTGCCTCTATAGTCAGATACTTGAGATCCGAACCGAGGATCGGGTTCAGTGGCGAGCTTTGGGGGAGGTCTATGTCCAGCAGTGGGCTGCCGCAGGCTGATGATGATGACGGCCCACCGGATGTTGAGTAGTTATCACGGTTCATGGACATTAGCAATGCCAGAGACAGAGACAAGCCGCTTGCCGTACTCTCTGCAAGCCTCGTTTCAAGAAGTTCTTTCCATGTTGATTCCTTTCCTTAAAATATTTACATCCATGACTGATTTGATTATGATTGCTCAGGTGGAGGTTTCATGCGTCTCTTCGGAATGCACCTCGCCTCTCATGGTTCGTCTCTCAACACGTTCTTCAGGCTGCTTCGTCCTCGTGGAGTCCCCTTAGACTTCCGCGAGATACTGAAAAGGGTCAATACTCCCTTCATGTTTTGCTTGAAGATACCAGGGTCCACTTCTTTGGCTGAGGTAAGTGAAAATTAATTTCAAAACAAATTATAAAAAAATTCTGCAAGCAATTTAAATATCCCTTACATCGGAGATTTCATGAGACATAATCCGGTCACCGTCCTCGTCGAGCCCGTCGCTTGCGACAAAGGGCTCGACGAGCGAACTAACCCACAGACACAGCCCACTGAGTTTCTCGCCGGATCTTCTCAGTGAGTCGCGTTTCCGATCCGGTGGTAGATTCTGCGAAGCACTGCTCTTGCTAGGGCCAGTGTTAGCAACACTTCGGTTTGAGCCCCGTGAGCTCACCTACATGTTAGGGCGAAGCTGAAATAGCCTCTCAAGGCTATCAGCATAGGTAGGGAAAAAAGAGACATCATTTTTAGGTTATGTTTGTTAGAAAGATACATACTATGTACATGTAGTATGTATCTTTCTAACCGTTAACGTGATGATTATAACAAGTCATTTTCTACTTACTTTGTACATCTGAACACTATAATGAACTGTGTGAAAATAATATGACTAAACAATAATATAATTTCCATGATCGTTAATATTATGGAACAAGAATTTCCTATCTTTTAATTCAATAGCCAATACGAAGCAGAGCTTTGACTCAAATGATATTCCGACGGTTCAAAGGTTGCAGAGACCTCGTTATCAAAACAAAAACCTGATAAGATCTTGATTAATCATAAGGTTTAATTTTGTCAGGTCTTTGATGTGTACAAAAAGGCTATTTCTTCGGAATCCTATTTTAGGTAGCTTTGATTGTGAGATTTCAAGATTTATCAGCTTTATTATTATTATTATTGCCTTTAAGAATTCGATTTAATATTTGGTTCCAAGAGCATTTACATGTATGGAGTTTGTTTTCAACGAAGTCAATGCTTCGTCTTTTAAGTTGAGATTTTGTTTTGAGAAAATGGGACCTTAAGATTTGCATTTATAGTACTATCGAAAAGGTAAGTGATATTTATACGCCAGATCCAGATTTAAAATGAGCAAAGAAGAGTAAAATTTTCGATTATGGTAAAAATAAAATGTCCTAACAACTATGTCATAAATAGTAAATGCTATTCTAATATGTAAAATAAGAATGCCAAAATCGTTTACATCTAAGGCAGTAATTTCTGTTCTTAATTAAAAAGAATTTCATTAAAATTAAAGTCCTGAATTCTTCGGTACTCATAATATTACTTATTATTGTTCGGTATTTGGTTTTTCCTGTTACGCTCCTTATAAATTTGATTTCGTTTCCATCCCTCCATTTAGATAATTTAAATTAAAATACATAGAAAGCACAGGCAGATCTTGTAATAATAACAAAATTATAATTAATATTTGGTATGCTTGTTTCATATTCAAAAAATATTAATAATATTAGTTGTGCAGGATTGCGTGAATTCATATGCGAAGAAATTTAGCTTGCACCCGGAAACCTCAGAGGGCGAGTTTTACTCGTTCTCAATGAGTAATACTCAGGTTTGCGAATTTTAAAATCTTAGTTATAATCCAGTTGTTCAATAACAAATACAATGTATCATATAACAGAACAATATTTTTTCTTTAATTTGCTCCTTAAAGACCCATTCATTACCCAGACGGCATATGCCAAATTGCCGAAATTTGAAACCTACCAAATATTGCCTCAAAAATATTTATAGCATTTTCTGTCAATATTACAATGCAGAAGAAATAGGCCAATCTATTTATTTGATTGACCTTTCTATGAAAAAAATATATTCGTTGCTCAAAACGAAGCTAATACCAGAGTAACGACACAAATTAAAATTTCCAGAACCACATCAGAAATATTGTAATATCAGGCATTTACTTTTTGCCTCGGTGGCACTTAAGCCACTGTCATTACCTCCAGTTACGACACGGAATGAAGACATTCTCCGCCCGCTAGCTTACTGAATAAGTAATATTCGCCAAGAAAATGTAATCTTTGAATAAAAATGGCATTATTTTGGTTAATCTCTCACCGTCTGACACTATGAAAATGTTTTCAGTTACAATTTAAGATAACTCCTCTGAATTTATGAGTCATTATTTGGCTGACCGCTTTAATATCATTGTACAAGTAAAACTTATTTCACTACATTATTTACCTAAATAGTTGATGCTACAGCTTTCAATGTCCTAAGCTTGACCTTTATGATCTTGGGCTTTTGTTGGGTTTCTTCCTCGTCAGCTACAAATATAAATGTAAATTAATCCCAAAAGAAGTAGGCCTATCGTTAACTTACGTACTCTTGTGGGTCCAGTTTCAAAGTAGCGTTCTTGTGGTTGGACTCAAAATAACATTAAGTCGCGAAAGCTTCATTTTTATCATCAACATTGTCACGTGATAAATCATAATGAAGTGTATTCAAAGTTAACCTATAAGCCCTTGTTTCATTAGCTGTCGAAACTTTATGTACTTAATCATTGTTCACTCCATTAATTACAAGTTCGTGTAAATTTTCAACTTATCACATTAAAATTTTTAGTTATAGATTAGATTAATTCAAGTTTCCAAGTTTTTGTAATTGCTTCTCGAATTACGGGATTACTCAGAACTTTGCGAATGAATTGCGAAAGAATTTTTTTAACATTTTTAGAGCAGAATATTTGATTCTTGTAATTTACAAAAGTATGAAATATGATATTATGGCACATAATTTACGACATTAAAATCGAAACCGTGCTCGGAATATTGTAGAATCAAAATTACACGGCCGACAACAATCAATTTAAAATTAATTGCAATTCATGTTTGTTCGTATTATTAACTATACAACATATTTAACGTTAAGATTTTTGGGTTTTAGTTTCAGGTTTATTGGTATAAGCGTTCATCTTATTTCTGCCATGAATTAATTATGCGTATTAGTTTAAGGGATTGTCAGTGGCACTATCACCACCACTTTACACCTCACGTTGAGCGGTAATAAGCACAAAATACAAACGTTCTAGTAACCATAATTAGTTAACAGCATGTTGAGAAAGAACTTACTTGTATCTTAGCAAGCAAAGCAATAATAGCTTTAAAAATATATTAAACTTCAAACAGGAATTAATTACAATCTATACTATCCTATACTATACTATGTGAATGGTAAGATCCAATCATAGTATAATAATAATCTGGATATAATAGCAGATAATAAAAGGTTTTATGTTGAAAAAACTATAATATTAAACTCAAACAAAATAACTAAGCCAGCTTAACGAACGGCTGTATCACAAAGCGATCTTCATCAAGAGGACTGGCAGCTCAAAGACATAACAACCCGTAAAATATGATAGCAGAAGGCTATTTTTCACACACAGTTTTCGTACTCAAATAACATAATTTCCCACTACAATACACTTACATCACACATCCAGCAATCCCCTGAAGCTATGTCAGCAATTTGCCCGGTCGTCTTCATCCCTTTGTGGTCCAACGTTCTTAGTGGGCTTCAGAACACTTCCATTTCAAGAGGGGCCTTTGTACTTGTGTACACAACAATATTACCAAGTGGATGGCGACAGAATTATTTACATTAAGCCCAAATTGGTTTAGGTGTTTCATGGATAAGTACAAGATAAATATACTCCGATGGTACGTGTTCAAATATTGATCTGATAAGGAATGTTGTTTATTGGTGTTTTCCGTTTTGTTTGTGTTAATTGCTTTTAGTGTAATTTGGTGTCTTGTTTTTATTGTTTTGATTTTGGTACTGGAGCCAATAGACTTCAAATCTAAAACGCAGTCAGAAATTTTGAAAAATTATGTTTAAATCTCAATCGCATTGTTTGTTTGCCGTTCTACTCTTCAAACTGGAGCTCGTAGAGGATTCCAAGAAGGGAGCAAGATGGCAGGCACTACAGCCAGATTTAATAAACATAACTGGATATATAATAATGTTTGTTTTATTGACAAAACGTAATATTAACGTACACATGTAAGTTGAATAAAAAAGTAATAGGTATTTCGATTCTTTAATGGCATCAATTTAATTTAAAATATAATGGTCCGCAGTTAGACTTTTTTTTTTTGCGTTATACTACTCAGAATTAACTTTTCATGCCATATAAGACGATCACATAACGCCCAACTTAAACAAACCTTTTCTGAAGCGAAGAGAATGTTCGAAAAGTAAAACCCGTATCAAAATGAGCTCGTTAACTTAGATTTGTAAGGGAATGTAAACATTCGGTCCGTTTGTTAGCCCCTTAACTATGTTTGACCAAGGAATTGAACAGGTTTCCAGAAAACGTTTGGCCCGGGATTAGGTTGGTCTGCATGTGGCGCCGCGAATTAAATAAAGTACAGGTATATACCCATTTGATTTACAAAATATATGCATGTTAGTATTTTGAGTATTGTTCTAGAAGTTTGTACATTTCTTCGTAATTATTGATAATACGATTTTTTCCATAGGAAGCGTAGCTCATAGCAATGGAGTACATTTATATATTTTTATTACATTTATTTATTTCCACTGTGAATGCATTTGTATTGTATTTGTATATACATACAACGATGTTGTGAAATTTACAAATTAAATTCCATCAGTGACGCAAGCCCCCACCGCTGTGATGATAATGACTTTTTCAAACTGGGCTTGAAAGGAGCTCTTAGTCGCGAAGAAAGTTTTGCTGATATTCGTGAACTACGGGGAACCATACTCGATTAAATTCATCAAATTTTCTTAGCAAATTAATAAGACATCAAGGGACAAAAGAAAGTTCCCATGGGAAATCAACGATTTTAAGAATATCGCTGTTTCCTTGAGAAAGAAAAAAATGTTTGGTAAATCAAAAGAAATAAATTAGATTTTCCGGACATCGAACCGTCAGATGGATTACGTGCAATTTTTATATTTTTTGCGCTTTTAGGCAGACGAGTATATGAACCACCTTTTTTTTTTCGGGCCGGAGGCCGAACCTCCTACGAGGTCTCCGCGCCTAGGGGTCGCGCGGGGTATGTGGGACTTGACGATCTGCAGGTATTGGGAGCAGACCGCAGGCTCGAGGAATTT